GATGTATTTATTCTTCTCGGATTTATCACTTCTTGCACTGTATTGGACCGTATCTTCGTTTGTATTTTCTTTTCCGTGGTAAGTTTTAACTGGTCGTGTGATTTAGATGTACAGCTTGAAGTTTGTTTAATATGTTCTCCATCGTCAACTGAAATTCTGCGGTTGAGACGATATTCGGTTTTGTAATGAAGTTAAGGATTGTATTCTTGTCACTAAAAGTGGCTTTATCTCTTTCTAATGTCTTAGCTAAGTTTGCGAGTTCCAGTATAGTTAAAGATTGCATTGTTTTTGACGTACCATCACCTTGAAGATTTCTTAGTTGACAATGTCGTTTAAGAATATTGTACATATGTACATACCGCCTATCTTCGCGAGCGTTACATGGGAAATGGCTTTGCTGACGACTTTTGGTTGTAGTTGTAGAGCAGTGCTAAGTGTGATCCATGGATGAACGATTAATTATTTTGTTGTCATTCTCTTAGAAAAATCTGCCACCAATAACTGACTTATTAAACTTTTAAAATCAGTACTCAATGTAGCTAAGATTTGCGGTGAGTACTACTTAAACCTTTATTAATTTGAGTAATCAGTTGCTTTCGTTTTTCTCGTAAAGAAAGTTGTGTAGTTGGACAGGTAACGAAAGGTAACGGACCTACTATATTATAATTCCAAAGCACCAGAGATCTACTTCTGTCCCATATCTTTTATCAGTAACAAACAACTCCGGTGCAGCATATTTGGGAGATCCACAATGCTAAGAAGATTGTCAATATTCCAGAAATTACTTAAGCCAAAATCAACGATTTTAACATCTGTAACTATTTAACATCACATTCTCTATTTTTAAACCGTGGTGAACTACTTTAAGGTTATGCATACGATTTAAAGCTGACGAAAATTGCCTTGTATATGCTTTTGTTTGTTTTTCTCCAAGTTTTCCATTTGGTTGCCTTTTAACAGATGCGCAAAAATCTCCACCATTTGCCAATTCAGTAACTAAATAATAAACATTATCGGATTGTTTTAAAAACACTAACTATACACGGATGATTTAATTTGGATATTTATTTTTGCTTCCCGATAAAAATTTAAATTAAGTTTGGTATGAACAGCTTCTTCTACTCTAGCAAAATTCCCTTTTCCTAAGATATTTCTGGTGAATACGTAGTTACTATCGGATATAACTCTCTTTTTATCCAAAGTCATGGCAAAATAGTGAAATTTAAGTTAGTGAAGTTATAAATTTAAATACGATAAAAAAACAACTTCAGTTACTGTCAAAACTAAATGTTATCAAAAGCAATTGTTAGATACCTGTATCAAAGGGTGTCGCGAAAAAAACCTGCTAAATTAATTCTCTGGTCTATTAAACGTTGTAATTAAAAATATGAAGATTCTGTAGTTATTCTTTATGCAATTAGAAGACGTTAGCAATCATTACGGCAAAGGTTTTACGATTTTCTTCCTTATGACAAAATCTTAAAAATTGTTTTTCGGCCAATAAATTTTTTGTTGTCTAAACCTGTTCGGCTTTCTATCTTTTCGAATTTCAACATCATTCAACGTTGGGTTTCTCTTATTACATGACTTAAATAAGTTAATATATTACTGAGAACCAATGGATTGAGCATGAATATCATAATTCCTTCCTGATTTTGGGCTGTAAAACTGTTTAGTTGCAGATATAATAATCTTTTACCTGATAATTCTTAAAATCTGTTTACAATAGTAATAAGATCTACCAACACAGAAGACTTACCTTCTGAAAACACTGCTGAAGTACTAAGAAATATTTGTCTCAAATTTGTCACATTGTAATAAGTAATAAAACTGACTGTTATAGGAATTTTGTAAATTTTTAGCAAAATGAAACATTTTATATTTATAAAGACTCTCTTTACTTTCTTCCAAAGTAATTTTTTTCTAACTTTAGGCTATCGACTATATAAAAGAACTTGGGTAAAACTAATTCAAGGAATTTTGTTATTTCATATGGTCGATCGATTTCTTAAAATAATAAAATCGACGAGTACTACCAAATAGAGATTTGCGTTTTTGAGATCAGGGAAAATTTGTCCACTTATCGGTTTTTTGGCTATAACTCAAAAAACTATACGTTTTTAATAAATATATACGAGATTTTTTGTACGGAATAAAATTTACTGTCTAAATGGCATCTTTTAAAGCGTAGAATATATTTTTTTAACAAAATAAATCTAAAAAACAGTGTTATCGAAAAAAATTTTTTTTCGAAAGGGCGAAAGGCCTAGAAAACTCATGGCTTGGTTTACTATTCTTTTCCATTGTTTATCGTTTGCTGCTTTATTGTACCAATTTGGGATTTTATGTTCTTCTATGTCTTTTTCAAAATCCTTTTTCCAGCTGGATTTCGGCCTACCTTTCTTCTATTCTTCTCATTAGGATTCTTTTGAATAGTCTCGTATTTAACAACCTTTGGATATGTCCCAATATGTTAGTCAGTTGTGATTTTATGATCTCTACGATTCGGTTCTCCATACATCTTTTCTAGTTCTATATTTGGTCTTTTTTATCAACATTCCACAGCTTTCCTCCAAATATTTTCCTGAGGACTTTTCTTTCCCACAATTGGAGAGCGACTTGTTCGAATTTGTCCATAAGTCCATGTTTCACTGGCATTATAATACTATAGGTCTGTCTTATCACTGTCCTATAACAATAACTTGTTTTGAGCAAATATACAACCATTACCAGTCATAATTCTCGCTTGGATTTCTTCATTCATATTTATATATTTTTTCTTCTGTGATTATTGTCAGGCCTCCTTGTATGTATTCTCGTTCTGTCAATTTCATATTTGGTCTTTTTTTCATTTGTGTATATCCCTTTCTTTCTTGCTTTCGCATCTAGTTTTTTTAGTATGTCTCTTAATTTTTGTTTACTTTACTAATAAGATCGCTGTTAAAAACATGCTGAAAACATCAATCAACAACATCAAAACTGAACTCACTGACTTTAAACTTATCTGTTTCTTTTCCATTTATCTTAAGCCTATTCTCTGTTTGTCTGAATTTCATTTTTATCATTCTTCCTAATTTTTAACTAATTCCCATTTTACGTAGAGCCTTGTAAATTTTAACAATCGTAAAATAGTTTCGAATCACAATTCAGATTTCTGCTTTATAATCTGAGCCTTCTAAAAATTGCAAGGCAAACAGACGTTGATAAATAATGTTAAAAGAGACTTGGGGAATCTAAAATTTGCATTCCACGACATGTCTTTTACAACTAAGCAGAAATCCTTAGCGAATTGTGCTTCTAGTACTCACACAGAGTAAATCCGAATAAAATGAAGAAAGGCAGCAAATATTTGATTTCACGCAAACAAATCCTATGTATCTCTTGATACGTATTTCGACCTAATAGGTCTCGTCAGAAGAGCTATTCATAGGAGTCCTCAACGTGAAAAATCAATATTTTCTGCCTTTTAATGCCATGTCTCTTTTAACATCATTTATCAACGTCTGTTTGCCTTGCAATTTTTAGAAGGCTCAGATTATAAAGCAGAAATCTGAATTGTGTTTCGAAACTATTTTACGATTGTTGTAATTAGATGTCGCTACTGCGTCCGTATTGAAGCCATGTTATTGTTGCTTCTTAAAAGGCAGAAAATATTGATCTTTCACGTTGAGGACTCCTATGAATAGCTCTTCTGACGAGACCTATTAGGTCGAAATACGTATCAAGAGATACATAGGATTTGTTTGCGTGAAATCAAATATTTGCTGCCTTTCTTCACCTTGTAAATTTCTTATCGTTTTACTCTGTCAAAAACTCGTTTAAGTCGATGAATCAGTCTACTACAGATCTCCCATATTCGTAGCTTTCTGCTTGTATTTCGCGCAGCCGGAAAATTTGATCTACTGTGCTACATCCTCTTCTGAATCCACATTCCGGGTAAAACTAATTTTACCCGGAAATTTTTTTTGTATTATCCAAATTGGCTGGATAAAAGGTAAAGGAGATTGATAACTGCGTGATTTATCTGGGTCGTTGTAGATAATATCTATATATGTTACGGCGATATTTTGTATTCAGTACCTACACTTTAAGCTATGGTATAAATAACACTACTTCCGTTTAAATTTTATTTGCTGTCTTTTCTTCATTAATAATCTGCTAATTGAGTGATTGCTTAATGAAATGGATAAACTATTGTCACGTTTTTTTGTGAATTGGGTACAGTGTGGTTTCAGTCCGATATCTCTGTATCTATCAGCAACTTTTCCAAATGATTAATTAGTACTAGTCCTCCATATTTGAACATTTGAGTTGTTACCTCATTCTTTCCTGGCTCGAATTTTTCTTTAGTTTCTCTTTTATTTCTTTTTCATTAGAGGTTTTCCTCTGTCTGTTCTTTCTTGATCCGTATTTTCAGTCCAGTTCTTCAAATCCTGTTATGTGTGTTTCATTTAAAAGCTCTTCGATGTTCTATCTTCTATATCTGTTCAGTATCCTCATTTACTAAATTCCTCCCATTTTTGCTTTTATAGTGTATAGGTTCTCTTTGATAACCCTTTTTGTCATTTTCATTCCTCGGTATATCTTTCTAATTTTTCTATTTTTAAAGCTTCTTCTTCTATGCAATTCAATTTACCTTCATTGCAGTTTCTTTTCTTTGATCTTATGTTTCTTTTGGTTCGTTTCCTTTATTCGTTGTTTTTTCTTCCTATCTCTGGTGTTTTTTGGATCGTTTTGAACCTTCATTTTAACCGGAAGTATATATTTGTTCTCGTCTTAAAAAGTCGCGTCAAATAATATATCGCTTGTACTATTTCGGTGACTTTTAAACATTTTTGGGTTATAAGCTATCATTTGACACTTCATTTATATGTTCTTTCTGTAACGGAGAAGTTGTGTTCACGGACAGACAGACGAACGGACATACATGTTTTTCACCATTTTTTAAATGTTGTAAACTTCGTGCAAACAATAAATTAATGTTACTTTATTTGTTTTAGGTGTGATATTGATCCACAACCAGATAATCCCCAACATGAACAATACATTTCAAGTTTGATCAACTCTCTGATCAAAGAGATAGAAAACAAAGCGTCAGTTGTAACCGATTCAGAATATTTCCTTACAAAACTAAAGCTTGCTGAAGCTGCAAAATTATTCAGAGAAAGATACAGGTTCGTATATCATATTCTATAGCGTTATTATAATTTTGGATACAAGCGTTTCATTCTTCATTTTCCAAGTAGTGAAATATGTTATAAGCCAAAATAAGATACCCATTGTAAATACATGGATAATTAAATAGTATCAGGTAATACATCAGTGAGTTTTCTGATTGATTTTTAACCTCTTACAAATACCCTAAAATGCCCATTCGCCAACATGCCAAAATAGATTCATCAAAACATTCCGACAAAGCGTTATATTTAGCTTCTAGTGCAGTTTTCTCTTTTCTTAGTTGAAGGAGAAAAACTAAATAAAATCATCCACCACCTACCCGAACGAGGACACAGTTTTTTACACTTCGACAGCATTTGGCAATCATATAGAAGAAAAAACGAAAAAGGAATACATTTATAATCCAAACAAAGTATTCACTAGATAAAACTAGTGCAACATGTAACTATGTAACAAGAAACATTCGCCGTGTCTACATATAATAGGCTGACAAATGCATGTTTGTATATGTAAATATCATCATTTACTTATTTTATAAAGGTTTCCAACTATTCAGTGTCCTGAAGTTTGATGGCTACTGTTTTTTTAATGCGAAAGGCATTATTCACATTGATAACTGCAATATCTAGCGTATGATGTGGATTTGTATTCGACCGTTTTTATTCCAATTTGAGGAAAAAATACCCTGGTTTGTCTCGCAAAAAATCTTTTCCATCAAGATAAAGTATCCACTTATAATGCGACTGTTATACAAGCAAAGTTATACTAATTGGATTCAGATTTGTGTACCACGTATTCCGGGATTCAGCTCCGTTTGACTATTTTCTGTTTCTAAACTTTACAACAGCTCGAAGGGTGTCATTTTGCAGCTAAAGATGGAGTTTTATTGAAAACTTCACATTATAGTAAATGATTTCGAACAAAATTATTTTCCTTAAGGAGTAACAACGTTGGAAAAGCGTCTGATCAAGTATATCGAGCGAAAAGAAAACCATATTGAAAAATAAATATGTTTTCTTATGAATAAGACAATCTAACTATCGAAAAATTACTGGTTTTGTCACTAATCTGGCGTATTATTTAGTAAACATACAAGCAAAGTTGCATGTAAACATATTTTTATTTTGTTTAGCATTACCGGTAGCGATTCCAAAACATTTCACATTTCCCCACGTTTTACACAATTCTTAGGTTATTTTTAAATTCTAAAGAAATGTCGATATTTTTTTATATTATGCTGATTATAACGTAAAGATTACTACATATTTTCTTGTTTTTTTATTACTTGCCTAGGCGATACATAAAAGTGTACATCTTTACATTAATATATAAACAATTTGTTCATATCAGCACTCATTTAAAGGAATTTTTATCTTGAAATGTGAGATTATCTACATAAAAATTCCTTTGTAATGATTTGATAAATCACCCTTTTTAATTTAATACAGTGTGAACCGTTTGTTTCAACCATTTCTTTTGTAAATAATAATAAAAGTAATGGGAAATGGGTTGAGTTTACCGAAAGTACAAGCTGAATATAGCCGCAAATGTCACAAATATTTGGGCTTTTAATAATTTGGGTTTGGCAGTGTTGGCATGTTTTTATAATGCATATGTTGAATGCTTCAAATATAAAGAGATAAAGCTTTTAACCCGGCGTCACATACGTGGATTTTTCTGTCATTAGTACATATGTGGGGTGTGACAAACCCCAATTTCTAAGAAAATCAGAATTTTTTCTGGCAGTTTTTTTATGTTTTCTAAATTCATGGTCTGAACTGATCATCTAAGGACTATTTAAGCAAAAAAGAAATAATCAGAACACCTTTATTCAAAAGAAATCAAAAATAAACTAATAATAGGCAATTCTCCATAAGCAAAAACCACAACTTAACTGAACAATCTTACCAAAAAACATAAACACCATATGATCATAAATATAATAGTAGATGAAAATCTAATAGTAAGATAATACAAGAAAAAACTCTGCCCGCTTGTACAGTGAAAGAAAAAAAAATAATCGCTATTTGAATTCATGCAATTTTGACAACTTATGACAGCATACTCCAGGCACAGTAATGATTCACAGTTTGAACAGAAATATTTAGTTTTCCGATCTTGGCTTCTTGGACATACTGAACATCTTCCCATGAGTTTTGGAATCTTGGCAGGTGGCACTGCAGTTGCATCTTGGCCAAAATATGCAATGTTTTGACGAATACTCCTTGGTATTCTTGGATAAGTTGTAGAAGCTTAGTATTTCTGGTAAATTTTTATCGCTAGTTGCTTCATCAATAGCTCCATCATGATGCATGGTGGACAACAGTAGGACGTTTTTATTTTTTTCGGCACATACCATAAAAGTGTAATATCTTTCTGAAAGCCAAATAAAGATGTCATTTGTTCTCTGTTCTGGACTGTCAAAAATTGTGCTGGGATGCATCGTTTATTCTTTCTTAGCCTGCCTACTGACGTAAGTTTATGCTCGTTCAGCAATTTTATCATTAATGCATAACTAGTGTACCAGTTGTCAAAGGTCACATTTCGGTTGGAACCAGAAATAGGTTGTATTAGCCTCTCTACTATATGTATTGGGGACCTTCTGGCTGTTTTCCTCCATACACTTTTAAATTTAAAACGTAGTACGATCGGACATCAACTAGGGCTTGCACTTTGATTCCATACTTTGCAGGCTTATTGGGCATGTACTGTTTGAAAGCACATCTTCCACGAAAAGACTCCAACTTCTCATCTATCGTCACATATTGAGAAGAAGTGTAAGCCTGCTTACAATTTTCAATAAATTTGTCCAGAATTCCACGAACTGGAGCTAATTTGTCAATCCCCAATCTGTCTTTACGATTCTCGATGTTATCGAACCGAAGACAGACCATCAGGAATTGAAAACGATTTATAGACATCCTACGTCCTATCTGTTTGCCATAAGTCTCTCAAATTCTAACGATTAGAATGAAACATACCTGCTAAATAAAGAAGTCCGATAAATGCTTTAGTTTCACATTCATTGGTTGGTTTCACCATGCATTTATTTAGATATGCAATTGATTTTTGTTGAATTTTGAGATTGGTCCAGCGCACTATGGCTTCGATCATTTGTCGGTCAAAAAACAATTGCCAAGAATCTAAAGCACGTTTAGCATTTTTTGCATAATGCTTCACACCCGGCAAATGAGTAATAATGTTCTCTGATCGTGTTCGAACCCGTTTATTATTTGAAGCAAGTTTGTTCCATTGTGTTCCGTCTTTTCCGAGATATATTTCTTCGTTTATTGGAGGTCCGTCAGTGCTTTTATTTTCCGTCTCATTCTGAAGTTCTGTTTTTGATGTCTCTATGTCTGAATCTCCGTCAGAAACTACATCTTCTATTGCGATATCCTGCTCCGAGTCGGTGTTGTGGTCGCTTCCAGAGATATGGTCAATATCGTCATCGCTTCCCGATTCGATGGCATCGTCATCAATTTCAGCCCATAGAGCTTCAAGCTTCGTATGACATGATATTTTAGCTAAAAAATTAAACAATTGATTATGCGGATTCAAATAAGTCAAAAATAAAAACTTGTCAAAATTGCAAACGCGAGTACATAGGTGGGGTTTGACACACCCCAGAGCGTTTCAGGCGGGTGTAATTTCACTCAATGCCTACAATGTACTGAGGTAACGCCTGAATTCGATGGTGAAGACATTTTTGGGAAGCTATTTGGGTGGACGTGCGCATAAGTCTGCGTTTGATTTAATTTAAGAGCGATATTTGGGAGCTGGGGTTTGTGAAACCCCACATATGTAGTGTCGGGTTAAAAAGTACATTTTGATTATACTATTTTATGAATTCTGCAATTTTTATTATATATGAAGTAATAGCGAGTAGGTATTTGTCTCTTTCGATATTAATTGCAAACATCTTTTGTAATCTGGCAACTGCTGATTTGACGATTGCCAAATCTTTCCCCTAATCTATCAAAGGGTAACTGCTAAAAAATTTCTAATTATTAACTGCAATTAATTTCCAAAGAAATAAATACTTATTCATTGTTGTTTTATATAAATCAAAAATTGTAGAATTCGTAACACAATATAAACAAAATGTACTTTTCTAAAGCTTTATCTTTTTATATTGGAAGTATACAACATGTACATTCTAAAAACATGTCAACACTGCTATACCGAAATTTGTTGTTCCATGTTTGACATTTGCGGCTATAATCAGCTTATACTTTCGGTAAACTCAACCGGGGGATGTACTTCGGGCCACAAAATTTTTGCAACTGTTACGATTCCCAGTTTTGTTAGTATTTTAACTGAGTTAGTGCAGAGTAATTTATTATCACTATAGCTGTTTCGGCAGAGTGTCTTCTCAAGTGATCTATTTTTGCCATGCGTTTACATTTTATAGTCTTTAACTGAATAAGTCGAGGAAGGGAGAACTTGTCTCAAGATGGTCGTTCAGAAATATCTATGTATTTTTTAATTTAATAATTTATGGAATTTAATATAATCTAATGAAGGTAGATTAAGACCTTTAACACACACGGGGGGAAATCCACATTCTCAGAGCCCCATCGGATATGGGGAGGGGGGGGCAATGTTGAGAATACAAGGATGGAAAGGCGACGGAAGTGATCAAGAAGTTTAGGGAAAGCAACATCGACAAACTAGTAACTACAGAAACCAAAAAAAGGAAATGGAACGGAAACAATAGAAGACCATATCAACTGCTGGAGCGGAGTTAATAAGGAATGTAGATCAAAGGCTTTTTCTTGTTCTTCTTCTGCTTAGCCTTCTATCGTCCATGTTTGGATATAGGTCTCTCCCAACTCCTTCCATCGGTCTCTATCCTGAGCAACATATTTCGAATTTGTTTCAGGAGAGCAAAAGGAGGAGTGGGAATCCTAATCAAAAATAAGTAGAAGAACAGGGTTAGAACATGGGAGCCAATAAAGAGACAGTGATACTCGGAGTATATGCACCAACAGACGATTTTCTGAGAATAGAAAAAGAAAATTTCACGGAACAACTTCAATGCCAAATAGATCTAATCAAGAAGAACTTGGAGATGATTATAACAGGAGACCTTAACGGCAGAACCGGAAGGAAAGAAAACGATTAAGTAGTGGGGAGATTTGGAGAGGATGAACAAAACGATAACGGAGAACGTCTGATTGAATTATACGAACTAAACAACCTAAAAATCACCAACGGATTCTTCAGACAAAAATGTTCATAAAAATACATGGATGCAAGAAACACGAAAGCTGAAGTCGATAATAGACTACGTAATAGTCAAATAAGATACCACAATAAAGATAAAATATGTGAGTCAGAAAATAAACGTCTGTCCAAATACTTACATCGGTCAAACTGGTAGAACCTTTAACAAAAATTGAGCAGAACACAAAAGGGTTTTTAATAATAGAAAAACAGATTTACGTACGCACTTCACTTTCTATTCAATAATCATTCTTTTTAATAACCAATTTCAAATTCTTCATATTCAAGATAAATGCCTTAATCTTTATTAGAATAGAATTGTTGAAAACAAAAGTTTTCAGTGTTTTATTGTTAGATAAAATGAATTTCCATCAAGTAGTGGTCGAATCCATCAATTTCTGAGAATTGTTCGTCTTTTCCTATTTGTACATTCATCTCCCCACTATTATCTTTATGTAATTTCGCGTAGAATTGCCATATATTATTCCAAGTTGCTCGTCAAAGTTCTCTTTTATTCCCGAATCATTTGGTTCTGTCAACTTCGAACTTCAATATATTTTTTGTAAGATTTATTATGTGTTCATCTCATTTTGCCAACGAAAGTCACCAGATGTGCAATGTTTTTAAAATTTTTGCAGCGATAGTTCTTCCAAAAACAAACAAGATAAATACATCCAATCTGTAATTAAAATATCTCGTTTTTAGCTCGTGTCCCATCCAACTTTTCACCCACATTCGAAACTGTCTAGCAGCTGAGATGAGACTGGTTCAAGCTGCGGGCGTCGACAACCTTACCGGTTTACCGAATCTGATGATATCGAACAGCGGTGCTGAAGTCTTACAGAAAGTCAACGTACTAAGAAGTAGGACGCAGGTATGTGTAAATTAATTTACAGAATCTTAGGTTAAGTCTGTCCTAAAGTATATCACTTTCTTTATTTTCCCTGTTTAAACGAACTTTTTCGTATCACAATCAAGATTATATAAATACGTTTTAAATTTCTATTCAATCACTCAGTTTAGTAAAATTTGAACAAGTGATAATCAAATATGTATCTTTATTATAGGTAGGTAGGTAGGTATCTTTATTATAAGCCGGAACATATTATTTTTTCCCATTGTGAAAAAACTGTACATTCAAAAATTTTTAAAAAATTCATAAGTATTTCTTAGGGTTATGTCTTTATGCTGTAAGAAAATTAACAAAATTGTATGTCTGGTTTTCTCGCTTTAACTTGGAAAAAAGTACTTTTTTAGAGTTTTTTCGAAAACGAAAACATGAAGTTTGCTCAAAATTTGTCAAAATACTTCTAGTTGTCACATATACCTTCTCAAATTTTTTCAAATTTTTTGAATGTGTAGTTTATCTTTTGGGGGTACAGATCAACCTTAATACATCCCATCAGTACATTTACGCATCTGTAAAAAAATCCTAAACCACTTAGAAACCTGGAACAAGTAATTTCCCATATACTTTGAAACCCCACAGTGAAGATAATCATGACGACGATCAATCACCATAATAAATGAGTGACATAAATATTATCAATGTTTGGCTATTTACTGATATTGAAATCAAGATATCAATCAATACGAAGCCTGTGAGATTAAGTCTAGACGATAGATATGGAAACAAATTTGAATTTACTTAGCTCAACTCTTGAGTTTTTCAAATCCGTTGAACATGCAGATCATATTAAAAATTCATTCAAAAATACTTAGACTAGTATTCAATACTTCCAAATCATCGCAGGACCAAACAACTCTACCTATGATGGAAGCAAAAACATAAAAAGTTACTTTGACTGGTTAGACTACTTAGAGACAAAAGGGAAACTATAAATATGCCGATAATAGTTTTTATTAGCCTGACACCGTTTTCTATACACATTTCTCAAAATGAGATATGAGGTTGTAGTTAAAAGCTCTTAGTCTACTATATAAGCAAAACAATTGAAAGTCAAATTATTTTATTATTCAATATGCCCTCATCTTAATTGGATACATTTATTTCAACAAATCATCAACATCTCTAGATCTTTCAAAAACAATTTTTTATCTTAATATGCAAATAAGGTCTCCACAGATTCTAACACTTCTTCGTCGGAAGAACATTTACGACCTTTTCGACTTTTTTCAGTTAAGGAAAGACTTAATAGTCATATGGAGCCAAAATAAGTGATAAGGAGGTTTTTGAGTAATTCGAAACATGAAAATTATTTGTATGACAATATACATATGCAGTGTATTGTCCTGCAAAAAGAAAATACCTTTATATATTACATTGGACGTCTTCTCCATAATTTTTTCTCGCAGAATGGTCAGTAATCGGAAAGATTCACTAGTGATCAGGGAATAGTAATGCCCAGTTACTGTTATACTTTACTTCGAAAGGCTTATATTCTTAAGAACATATTGAGACAAGCCATGAATTTTAATATGCCAGCGAAGGGAGGAGCGGTGACAACGCTAAACGCATGGAGGAGAAATATAGAGTAAAAGCTTGAAAGAACTGGAGAGAGAAAGAGAGAATGCTGCAGATAGGAAGAGAGAAAATTGGAGAGAGAAAGAGCGAAAGCTAGAGAGGATGGAGAAAGCTAGAGAGGATGGAGAAAGCTGGAGAGAGAAAGGTAGAGGTTGGAGAAAGCTGGAGAGAGCAAGAGAGAAAGCTGGAGAGGGAGAGCTTGAGAGAGCAAGAGAGAAAGCTTGAGAAAGATTAAGCTGGAGAGGGAGAGCTTGAGAGAGCAAGAGAGAAAGCTTGAGAGATTAAGCTGGAGAGGGAGAGCTTGAGAGAGAGAGCAAGAGAGCATTAGAGAGAGAGAGAGAGAAAGAGCATTAGAAAGAGAGAAAGAGCATTAGAGTGAAAGAGATCATGAGACAGAGAGAGCATTATATAGAGAGAGGGTATTATAGAGACAGAGAGAGGGAGATAGCATAAGAGATGAAGCATTAGAGAGAGGGAGAGAGAGAGCGTTAGAGAAAGAGAGTATTAGAGAGAGAGAGCATTAGAGAGAGAGAGACATTTGGAGAAAAAGGTTTAACAAAGGACTGGAAAATATGAAAGAACCTAGTTGAGCAATTAGTACTAAACGCATACAGTACAGAAATAACAAAATAAGTATTACACCATTCTGTGTCTTGCCCATTTGTGACTTGCATTTTAACTTATGCAGTAAGTTTGAATATTGACCAGTTGAGCCTATCGGCAAAACCGTTCTGGTTACTGGTTGGGAACGACTGATCGGATGGGCCATTGTTACATTTGAAGACAGGCCATTCTAGCAGATATGGAAGCCCGGAATAGCCTGAGCCGCAAAAACGCCGAAGGGTAGCTCTTTATAGACCTAGTCTGTATGATGGGTATGATACAATGGACCCATCTTAGTGATCTCACAAATGAACTCTGCTCCGATCTACCATAACCTAAGATTATACATCAAGTATACATTTATTGTTCATCTTCTACTAAGTGTTATGTTGCTGATACTACGGTAGTAACTGTTTAAGAAAATTTTTTAAGTTTTTTAAATGTTATTTTTACTGAAGATTTCCGTCAAATTTAATTTTTTTGTACTTGATAAAAATTTTAGAGCACAGCCGAAGATTTAAGGAAAATGGAACAAGAATTGGAATCTTTTGCTTTACAATATCACGAATGTCAAAAAATTACAGGTGAGTTAAAACTTTGATATATTAATTACATACATTCTGTAATTGTTGGATAGGCCAACATTGACGAATTTCCCCTGAATATGTTCTAGGAAGCGAAAGTACTTGGGCAAGATTTAATTAATAAAACTGTGCTCGATATCTGCCTTTTATTTGATCAAAGTTCATTTATTCGAGCATTCAACCTTATATCAGTTTTGTTTATAATTATATGATTTTTGGTACACAAAACTGGCTGCATTTCTATTGTACACCGCCTAAAACGAGTTTTTCCAAACAATTAATGTCTATTATGCGAGTAATCAATTCCACAGCTTTCTGACAATTCCTTTTCACTATCGTGTTCAGATATTAAATACTCATTTTCCAAATTACAACATACAAAATACTAAATAAAATATTTTGTAACACAAACTGAATCGTGCAATCTCATAGACTAAAGCTCTTTGTAGTTGATATTATTTGTTTATTTATTTGTAATAGTTTCTGCATCGAAACTAAATTTATTTGTAGTTTAAAAATACCTTTTATTAAGTTGCTGAGAAATTTTAAATCCAATCAGTTCAGATAAACAAATATGTTTTAGCACATTTGCAACAGATGACTACGCAACCGAACGCTCAGATACCAACCAATAATGCTTCAAAGCTCCAAAAACAAAAAGAATTACTAGAAGCAAATCTCAACCAAAAGTTAGCAGCTTTATTGCAGTTGAGGTTAGCGTTAGGTGACAAATTAAAAGAAACTTTTCAATTACTGGCCCAGCTACAAACGCATGTTTTGGACGAGGAACTTATTAAATGGAAACGAGATCAGCAATTGGCTGGAAATGGAGCGCATTTCAATAGTACTTTAGACTCTATACAAGAATGGTAAGATACTTTGTTTAATTTTTAAATTATTTGTAGTACCTTATACAAAAATCAATATTTTAGGTGTGAAAGTTTGGCTGAATTAATCTGGCTCAATCGACAACAGACTAAAGAGGTTGAAAGGTTGAAGCAGAGAATACAAATGGTAGATCCGCCTGTAGTAGCTGATGTGCTACCACATCTAGTCCAGGAGTTTACACAATTGCTGTCAACGCTAGTTACCTCGACTTTTATCATCGAAAAACAACCACCTCAAGTTATGAAGACAAATACACGGTATGTAAATTGCTGCCTTTTTAAGTTTGAGATTCAAATTTAGTTGTAACTCTTAATGACTCACGGGACCCATGGATTCAAGTGTATATTATACTCCTTTGGATTGACGTCACTAAAACCGTGGTTATCTTCACGTTTATTTACTTTAATACACGCAAAGAATATAGACGCATATAACAGGATCTTTCACTGTTATTTTTTAGCGTCGGCAAAGGTTGAACACACGTTATAAAAAAGAAGCAGAGGTTGATCAAGATTTTAGTTCCTGATTAGTACCACTAGGGAGCGGTCATGTCAGCCCTATTATTGCTTCTAAAATATGAAAGAGTGGGCAACAATGTTAAAAAATGGCATGCCTTAGATGAGGGGTCTTGTTCAGACCATCGAGACAATGAGCATATCACGGAAACTTATCGTAATCCTCGTAAAACAAATTGGGAAGCATATCAAGCAGACCTGGAATATTGTTTTATCCTGGTGGAATGACAGTCTTGCAAATTAAAGGACAGAAGGCAGACGGAAATGTAATTGCTCCAAAAGATTTGGTGAGTGGGGGCGATTATTGCAAAGCATGGACTGTATATACAACAATGTAGAAGGGCAAAAAGAGAATCATGGAGGGCATTGCTAGGACATACAACAGACTGCAGAAATGTCAAGGTTCCATAAAGTTCTCCCAAAAGACCCTTAGATAAGTATTCTCTTGCTCCAAAATAAGTCAGATGAACTGAGACTCTGAAATATCTTTTCAGGGTGCACTTTCCTGACTCTCAAACATCATTTATGTTATAACTGATCATCATCATTAGTTGGCGCTACAGCCCTTCGTGAGCCTTGGCCTGCTTCAAAACATTCTTCCATCCTTCCCTATCAAGTGTCTGTCTTCTCCAGCCCCTCACTTCAATCTCCCTTAGATCTTCCTGTACATCGTCCAGATATCATGAGTTTAGGTCGCCCCCTTCTTCTTCTTCTGACCGGCCTGTTTAGCATAGTAATTTTAGCGGGATCACTCTCATCCATCCGCATTACGTGGCCCACCCACCTTAGGCGGTTTATTTTGATGATCTTCACAATATCTGCATCACCAAAAAGTCTATAGAGTTCAAAGTTCTTTATAACTAATATCATACCTTTTTAAGTTTTAAAATTAAAAAAAAACAAAAAAAAGACAGTTTGCAAATCAATGGCATCGAAATTTGATTAGGAGTAGATGCATAAGTTAAATAAATAGCTCCGTTCGTACTTCTTTCCCACTTCCCCCTAACTACATCTTTCATGATGATTTAAACAGCTGAATAACTGCTCACTAGGTACACTCGTTGGTGGTGCCGATAGAAATTTTTTGGCTGCAGTTTTTAAAGAAATATAGGGACTTGATTCCCAATAATGAAATATGTCGACACTTCTTAAAAGCAAAGCCTCTCGTAAATACGAATCTAGCTAATCTGCATTGGGATCGTTGTCGTTATGAATTTCTTTTGTTGTATCTAGAACGGCTGTGACAAACGTATCATGTGAATTCCAAAGACTATTGTTTTCTAGATCTTCTACATGTGTAGTTGTAGATGATGATGTTGAAGCGATAGCCATAGGAACTTTATTTGTATAACTAAACTTAGAGCTACCAGATTCACGTAGAAATTTTAAAATTCTTGCTTTACATGTAATTACTTCCTCGTCTGTCAAATATTTTGATTTAAAGCGAGGATCTAGAAGAATCGCAATTGACAATTCTGGCAAATTTGTAATATTAGCGAGTCTTTTAATTAATGATTCACGAAGTCGTAGCTTTAATAAACTTATCTCCTCAGAGTCCTGCTCTTTCGCAGAAACTTTACCATTTAGCATTTTTATTAGTGAGATAACCAATTACACACAAGCAGAATCGGCTGAAAGATCTAGCGTCGCTTGGTAAAAACAAGTTAAAACTGAAATTAAATTATTGATCAATTCCCATTCTGTTGAACTGGGAACTTCAATACCACCACGTTCAGCCATATACAAATTTTTACCATATACCAATTTTTCAGCCATATACACGTTTTGAACCATGAACAAAGTGAGCTGTAAAACTCAAAAGAGAACAGGTTTTAGCAGGATTGCTCCAAATATCTGACGTAAAGCTTATCCATTCGGCTTTAGAAACTAAATTTGATACTTTTTTCCAATCTCTGTCATAGGTAGCTGGCATTAAACTAGTTCTAAAAACTTTTCCGTTTTTTTTTTGTATTTGGAAGTAACATTAGGATCTCCAAAATTTAAACGCTGAAAAGCTTCTCCTTCAACGATAGAGTATGGTAACATGTCGACAATAATAAGGTCCATGATACCCTTATCAATCCTAGATAATATCGGATGATCATCAGGCCATAGAGCAGGTGACTTAAGTTCCATTATTTGATGTAGGTTGGGCTGAAATGTCCTGGAAACTGGTTGTGTAACATCATGTGGAGTTTTTATATGTTCCAATTTTCGAACTTTTATTCCCATTTCAATGTCACAAAATGATTTCCATTCTTCTGTATGGATTTTTTGTAGATGATTTTTAATGTTTGTAATAGTTTGTTTTTTAGGTATTAAACTGCCAAGCGATAATGACTTTGAACATAGTTTGCATGCAGCTTTGTTGCCACTTTTTTCAAAATAATCCCAAATTGGATTTTTTATTGACATTATGTAAAAACGTTTGAATTTACTAAAATTATATTAAAATAAAAATTACAGACTTACCAAAAGTTATTTTTACAACACTAGAACAAAAACCTGAACTGATTTTGCAACGTAAATTATATATATATATATATATATATTTCACGGGTAAATAAGTACTATTAGCAAAGCTGCATCCACGAGAGAATAAACTTAAACTGTTGTAAAATATTTAATATTTGCATTCATAGTCGATGGTCGATGTTTTGCCATTTAGGTATCTATTTAAAACACCAGTAATCGTGAGTTTCAACAAATACAATAAAATTATTATCATAATTTTACTACGTGAAAAATATTCAAATGAAGATCTTTAAGATATCTTGGCCTACTGTTAAAATTTATATCCTACCTACTATTACCTGACCTGAAAGTTTGTAAAACGTTTTAGTTGAGGGTAGAAAATAGTGTGTAAATATTATTCAAATTATCAAAGACTCGCCGAAGAGTATTGTTTAGAGATTATTTCATTTCTATAGTCACCTTCGGCAAAACCTTCGGCTTTGTTTTGGCCGAAGCCGAATTTTGGCCGAAGGTGGCCGAAGCCGATGCCGAAGCCGATTAATCGGTCGGTCTCTAAATATCGAAGACATCAACGAGCCATCAACCAGCAAGCAGCTCGCAGTTCAGTAAACAAACAATAAATTCGTTCATTAGTTTCATTTTACAAAAGACGATAGTGTTTTAGTTTAAACAGCGTTTTGTTAGTTAAAATAAAGCCAGTGTTTACAGTCCACCTAGTTTTTCATTTTGCCTATATTAATAAAACTACAATAGACAATAAACTAAACATTTACTTTAAGCGTTCGGTTTTCGGTTGAGGTTAATTAGTTAATATAAATAAATTTTATATCGATCGAGATGAGATTTTTGCCAACACAACACTACAGCATTACACCGATAATATTTTTTTTATTTTTATAATTACGTAATTTGGCAAAAAATATTTTAAAATTTAGTGATATATTTTAATTATTTTAATTTGTGTGTGTGTCCATCTTATGAAAAATGTTATTCGTCTGAGAAATAAATTTTTTACAAATTTTTAATAAAAATAATTTTCGGTAAAATGTTATATAGATTTAGATTTTGTTTCTAGATTTACAGCTACCGTTCGTCTCCTTGTCGGTGGAAAACTGAACGTTCATATGACCCCTCCGCAAGTTAAAGTTACGATCATATCGGAATCGCAAGCGAATATGCTGTTAAAAAATGACAAATTAGGCAAAAGCGGTGAGAGTTCGGGAGAAATTTTAAATAATACAGGTACAATGGAATACCAACAAAACTCCAGACAGCTTTCAGTTAGTTTTAGAAATATGCAACTGAAGAAGATCAAGAGAGCCGAGAAGAAAGGTAAGATCTTTTTTTCTCAAGAAATTTAAACACATACTTTTATTGTTATCCATATTGTAACTTATTCTGTGTATTTGATTAATATCTGTAAATATTTTGATGCGATTAATTGTAAATTATATTTCAAAATAATAATATGACGATTTAATCAAAGTCTTTCCCTAATTCCACCCATGTCTTTATGATATGGTGTAGCTTATCCTTCTTCCTTCTTGTATGTAGGCTTTAAAGCCTGTCTCTTCTTCAATATTAGCCTCCTAAATCGTTTAAATTATCGCAGCATCTTTTTCTTGGTCTGCCAATACTTCTTCGTCCATTTGGTGACTGATCTCAAGCTATTCATACTATTCTATCATCTTCCATACTACTGTTTCACTCCTGTTTCCGTTTTGTCACCTATCCATTTATGTCTTCTATATTGCATGCTCTTCTTATGTTTTCTCTTCTCTCCATATCCAACAGACTTTTCCCTGATATTCGCCGGAGTATTTTCATTTCTTTTTGTTGTTTCTAGTAGTCGTCTCGTTTTAGATGTGTCAGATCTTGTCTGCGCCATGTATGTTAATATAGGTCTAATTGCTGCTTTATAGATTCTTGTATTTGTGTCTTGTTTTAGGTGTTTGTTCTTTTAGATTGTGTCATTAAGAGATCCCGCCGCTTTACTTGCATTTAAGCTTTGTTGTACTTCTTCTTCAACATCTCCGTAACTAGCTATATCTATTCCCAGATATCTAAAGTTTGCCTCCTGCTTTATTATTTTCTGATCAATTTCGATTTTACATCGTAGTGGGTATTTAGATGTCATACATTTGGTTTTTTCTACTAATATTATCATATTGCATTTCTTGGCTGTTGTATTGAACATGTGTGTTACTCTTTGGAGCTCGTCTTCTGTCTCGGAGATTAATGCGGCGTCGACTGCAAACCATAATATTTAGATTTCTTTGTTCCCCGTTCTGTTCACCATGACCGTTACGTACTGCTTGTATTATTTCGTCCATTATTATATTTAAGAGTAATGGGCTTAACGAGTCACCCTGTCTGACTCCGTTTTGTACTGGTGTACACTGTCTTAGTTTTGCATTTATCTCTGCCTGTATTCGATTATGGAAGTAGAGGTTTTCGATGGTTTGTATAATATTGATTGGTATGTTTCTTTTATACAGTAGGTGTAAGATGCAATCGAAAGCCTTTGTCAGGTCTATAAAACACAGATATACTGGTTTATTGTACTCGATGGCCTTTTCTGTGATTTGTCTTAGTACAAATACAACGTCTACGCAGGATCTTCCAGATCTAAATCCTTGTTGTTCATCTGATAAAGTTGTTGGTTTATTGATTTTGTTGGTTAGGACTTTTGTGTAATAATATTTTGTCATACGAGATTTAGTTTTAACTGTCATGTTGATGACTCAGTTATATCTAACACATAATTTTATATTTTTTTAAGGAACGGAGAGTGTAATGGACGAAAAATTCTCTCTACTATTCCAGTCACAATTTAGTGTCGGAGGAGGAGAGTTGATGTTCCAGGTGTGGACACTGAGTTTGCCAGTTGTAGTAATTGTGCATGGCAACCAGGAACCACACGCTTGGGCAACAGTCACTTGGGATAATGCTTTCAGTGAACCAGGACGCGTACCGTTTGCTGTACCTGAGAAAGTAAGTTTCATTCATCTTTATTGATAGATTATTAACACTTTTTCTGCGGAACTTTATTTCACAACGTTCGCCTGTGCGGAATGAACCTTTGACAGCATATGTAATACTCAGATAACATCAAGTGGCGTCGTCTGCGTAGACTGAAAAATAAAAAAACGGCATATGGCGGCTTCTGCAGCGAAAGTGTTAAAATTTATAATGGGTTGACACCATTGACTTTTACAAAAGTTTATGGATCCAAATAAGTAACGGTTTTAAAGTAATCAACATTTTCACTCAAAAGTCAAAAAGTCGTTATTATCGGAAGTAAAATATTTAGATGTTGAATCCGTTATTAAAATTTTTCTAGCTGCTATAGTTTATGTATCCGTCGCAATTTTTGGGTACGGACAAACATACAGACAGACGGATCAAACAGAAGGAAAGTGTCGATGTGTAATAACAGTGGACGATGTTCTTCTCGATGTTAATTAGGTAAAGCAGATCAAATGTGGAGAGGCTATAAATTTGTCAAATGAGCGTGTAAATAGCATCAGACAGGATTATTTGGATATGAAAAAGACAGACAGATGGCAACTCTTCTGTAGTAAGCTGTATTTGCTTGTAGTTTGTAGTTCTTTTGGACTTCGAACAATTTTAGGAAAAACATTATGGTTTATCCTGAATAAAGTTCTCTTCCATCTCGATAACACATTCGCTCGCAGGGTGGACGTTGAGAAGACAAAATTACACTACATTAATCGACCATCTTGCCAGATTTAGTTCCGTTTGAGTATTTTCTGATATCATTATAGATTTCTTGTCAGACACATGCACAGTTCTATAGAATTTGTACGTGAACATGGCATTTTTCATGATCGTGTGGAAATTTAAATTTGTATCCTTTGTTTACCCTAAATGTTATAACACCTTATCCGTGGTCCAGTTTTGTTTGTCTACTAAGAATGTCTTGATGGGCCCCTAGACGAGAAGCAAGTGACCCTGTAAGTTTCCTTGTCATATATTCTATTAATTTTCCGTTAGTTTTCTATTAGGGATAGAGTTGTGCATTTGTTTGATTATATAATCTATTGCAACTGGCTGAATAATTAATGTCTATGCTGTGAACGATGAAACCATGGCAGAAACTTCACAATGTTTTACTTTTCGGAAGATATAAAATAGTTGAGAAAAGGCATCTTATCAGTAGTTTTGAGCGAAAGGGAGATATAAAAAAATTAGTAAAACAACAAAGAACAAGAAAAATGACGAAAACGCTCGTAAAGAAGAAAAAATTACTCTACATTAATCAACTATCAATTGTATTTGCCAGATTTAGTTCCATGTGACTATTTTTTGCTACAAAAAAATTGCTTGTGTACGCTGTTTGCTACGGACGATGAAACCGTAGCAGAAACTTAACAAAATTTTAAGAAGTTCGAGCAAAATTATTTTTTGGACGATATAAAACGGTTGAAAAAAGGTGGCTTATCAGGAGTTTTGAGCGAAATGAAGATCCTTGAAAAGATTTTCTTGAAAGAAAAATGAGAAAAACATCGGAGAACAAGAAAAACGCACGAAAATACACGTTTCGAAGACAACATTACACTACATTAAACCACTACTCATTGTATTTACCATATTTAGTTCCATGTTACTATTTTATGCTTAAAAAATGGCTTCTGTACGCCGTTTGCAACGAACGATGAATCTTAAAAGAACTTTACAAAGAACAGATTCTTAAAAGAACAGTGAAAAAACGACAGAAAACCCCAGTAAAAGAATTGGTAGTAAGTGTACAGTAACAGTTTGCAGAATTACCCGGTGTCCAATAATTTATTCAGTGGATCAAAGTGATTGCCAACATTTACAGAGGACAGCCACCAATACAAGATTAAACAAACAGTTTCGAAAACATCTTTATTCTCAGGAAAAGTTTTTTTTACTGATACATACTATTATTATAACTTTGATTTCCACAGTAGTTCCACACAGAAACTTCCAACTCCTTTCCTCTTACTTCTGGTGGACAAACGAATGTTCCAGGACCAAAATCTCTAGACCGAGGTCGCTTTCTGACACCCAAATAGAAAAAAGAAATGTTCCTCTTCTCTGTTTATTATAAAACTTAATTCGTAAATACATATTTTACTGATACATACTATTATTATAACTTTGATTTCCACAGTAGTTCCACACAGAAACTTCCAACTCCTTTCCTCTTACTTCTGGTGGACAAACGAATGTTCCAGGACCAAAATCTCTAGACCGAGGTCGCTTTCTGACACCCAAATAGAAAAAAGAAATGTTCCTCTTCTCTGTTTATTATAAAACTTAATTCGTAAAGTGTTTATTATATAATAAAGATCTTATTGAAATTTATATGATATTATAGAGTGGAAAAAAATGTACATTCTGAAACTTTGTTTTATTTATTTGATTCTGATTCTTGGTGCCTTATAGTAAATAGCAAATATTATTTCGAAATTTTGAGAATAAGTCGGAATTGAATTCTTCATTAACGCTGTTAATGTTATATTCTAGGTGTCATGGAATAAAGTAGCAGAAACATTATCCCTTAAATTTAGAGCCGCCACCGGAAGGGGACTAACGGAGGACAACTTACGATTTTTGGCAGAAAAAGCCTTCAGAGGCAATTACAACGAATCGACGAATTCTATGCTAAGCTGGTCACAGTTTTGCAAAGAACCATTAAGTGAACGAAATTTTACATTCTGGGAATGGTTTTACGCCATCATGAAACTTACTAGGGAGCATCTAAGAGGACCATGGGTTGATGGGTAAGCATTATTATGTTGTCTATCCTTGGTTGTATCTATTAACTTGTCATCTACTATATTTAATGACAATGAAACACAATTTTAATTGAAAATATGGTAATATTTGACATTTCGTTTTTACATTGGAAATCGTTATCCAAATGCGTTATAGAATGAATTCCTATGTGGAAATATGTTGACAAAATAGGTTTACGAAATAACATGATATGATTTATAAAACCTCTACTTTCAACTACTCTGATGGGACCATATTCTGTCTTCATGAAGCTGAACTGTTTATTATTCCAAAGTATATATTGTTACGTTTTTTTACTTTACTTTGGATTCAGGGACAAAGTGAACCAAACGTGGTTTAACTATTTTTTTTTCACTCCCAAACAAACTCATAGTATCATAAATTCTAATACATTAGTAATTATCGCCTACAATTCATACGGATATCGCTTACAAAAACTACGCTAATACTGATAATCTAATGTCCAAACGGTGCGTTTCAACATTCGAGCTGAAAATAGTATTTTCGGCTTCGCTAAAGCCAGGACCCCATTCAGGAGTCACAAAAGAATATAATTATTAATAAAATGAAACGTCAAATATAACAGTTTTAAAAAAATGTGATTTATTCCCATTTATTACAGTATATATAGAAATATTTTGAAAAAGTTTCAAAACCATATTAAACTTGTATTTTCTTCCAGTGCCATCATGGGCTTTGTCAGAAAGAGGCAAGCGGAGGAGATGCTCTCTTCGTGTGTATGCGGCACATTTTTATTAAGGTTTTCGGATAGTGAGTTAGGAGGTATAACGATCGCATGGATTTCCGGTAAGTTTTTTGACAATTATGTTTTCTATTAACTAAAAATGTTTGGTTTTATTAAAATTTGTATTTATATTTTTAGATACTGGCGAAGTTTTTAGTTTACAACCTTTCACATCCAAAGATTTTGCCATTAGGTCACTTGCCGATCGCATAGCAGATTTAAATCATCTGGTTTATTTGTACCCAGATATATCCAAAGAAATTCCCTTTGGAAAATATTACACACCATATCAAGGTAAGCAACACGTACAAGCTTTTTTTTAACGAATTACTGTGTAGCAAGAAGAATCAAAGGATCATGGTTTATATACAGTGGAACTTGGTTATAGCGTCGTTGAAGAGTCCAGTAAAAAAATGATGCTATATCAAGAGTGACGTTATAAAGGAGGTAGAAAAAAAAAATGAAATTTTAATGAGACAAAATTTCATTACAGCATTATTTATTATTACAGCTGCATTTAGGATAAAAAAATGAAGAAATAAATAATGCTGAAAAAAGTTGAGCTGGTTCTTTGGTAGTTCTGGATGCCTCCCTGAACTGGTAAAACCTAGATATGCTTTCAGCAGCTCTCATTGCTTCCTGGATGGTAGAACAGTCAACACCGTCTTGTCCATTATCTTCATTAACATTCATTTCCACATTTTGCACTTTCTCCACAATTTCTTTATCACTTAAAACTTGAAATGTTTCTACCTGATCGTCTACTGAAATTAGGGAGTCAAGATCAGTTCCAAACTCTCTCTGGTTTACATTAAATTTTTGTATCCACTCTGGCAAAAGCATTTCGTCATCCTCGTCAACATCCTGAACATTAAGGGAAACTACAGTCAATTTAGCTTGACGAAAGCATTTACAAATTGTCACTGACGTAACCGCACTCCACGCATTATCTAAAACTGAACTGCATCAAGGATGGTAATGTTCGCGGGTTCGCAAATGCAAATTAAGCTTAGGATGGGCTGCACAGTTCGTTTTTTTTTAATTTCTGTTATTAAATTATGTCATCTATCAGTTGAAAATATTGAGATTTTGTAAAGCCACTGTATGAATTTTCCAGATAACCCTCCATCGGCCAACAATGGTTATGTACGGCCACAGCTAGTGACGCAGATTCCGGGCTTTACTGGTGGCCACAGCTCTTTCCCAAATACACCACACCATGATCCCACTCGAGATACACCGTCCGTGGTTAGGTAAGTGATAGTTTTGCTGCTCTTTTTGTCATTCGATACCTGTCACCATTCTCTTATATTTTTTATATTACGTGTGTTTTATGATTAAAATAAAGTTGGAAATGATAAAAATGGTATAAAGAAATGCAGGTTTTGAAAAATAGGTTTTTTACTTTATCAAGAATTTATGAAATAACATAAATTCTAATATAAGAAGCAGAAAAAGAGACTATTGGACATGATTCACCAAAGATATGGTAAAATCATTAAAGGTAAACCGAGATCATGAGATTTTATCCGTTTCAGGAGAAATTTGACTCTTATGGTAATTCGCAGTTCCATGCAAATGAGCCACAAACCACAACAGCCGTCAAAGCCAAGATAACTCATGCCAACTGACAAATTGTCAATTGTCAAATGTCAAGAACGACAGAGTCATGCCGTGGTGATCTTTCATTGGTGACTTTGTACCATAGCTCAAAAGCCTGAAGTTTTGATAGAGTTTCTGCCTTCAATGTCCACGTTTCTACTCCGTACAGAAGCACTGAGTACACATAACATTTAAGGAGCCTTATTTTTGTTTCTAGGGTGAGGTATGGCTCTTGAACAGAGAACTCATAGTCGAGAATGCACTCTTTGCCTTTCCGATGTGACATTTAATCTCTTGGGTATTGTCCCACGACTCATTGATTATAGTTTTCAAGTATTTTTATTGTGAGACTCGTTCAATTCTAATTTGGTTCACAAAGCTTCTCCAAGTATTCTTCCCATACTTTCTTTTTATCTTCCCTGGTTATGGCAAGATTGCCTTCCTTCATCATCTGTTGAACTTTCCAGCTGTTTCCTTCACCTTTCGATGAACATTGAAGTTATCATATCGATTCTGATTTCCCCTCTATTTCTTGACATTGTTCTATTTTTTGTTTCTCCTTGGATTCTCTTATTTTTCTTCTGATGATGGTATGTCTTCCCTTATATTCTTGGAGATTTTCTTTGTTTTTTTCTCTGATCCATGAGTTCAAGTATTTCATCGGTCATCCACGATTTCTCTGTATCTTTCTTCAAGTGTTGTTTTTTTATCTCTCACTGTTTCTTGTATGATGGTCAGACTTTACTCATTTTTTCCTGCATTTTTGCATTTTAGCACCTTTGTATTCAGGTTTTCAGTCACCTTCAGTGGAACATTGGGATCTTTCAGTTTTCTAACATCATATTTTTTCTTCGACTTCTTGTAACCTTCTTCATTCTGACTTTGAAATTACCTACAACTGGTACATGATCGGCATTTATGTCTGCCGCCGGTATGTTTTGACAGATCTACAGCTGTTCCTATACCTCTTTTTTCCTAGCATGTAATCAATCTGATTTCTTACAATCCTTCCCACAGAGTCCTGTGGAGATTTCCAGGTGTACAGTTTCCTTGGGTGTAGCTTAAACCAGGTGTTCATTATTACCAATGGATTTGCTTCCGCAAAAATCTCTAACGTATCTCCCCGATCGTTCCGGTTTCTTAGACCAAATGGCCCAACTGAAGATCATGTTTTGCTGGCCTTAACTTTGGCGTTCAAGTCACCTATGACAGTTGTTAGGACTTGCTTTTTCAACCTTTTCACGACTTGATTAATGCTATTGTATAGTTCATTTATCTCTTCTTCTGTTCCTTCTGTTGTAGGTGCATACACTTGAATTATATTGATGTCGATTGGTCTTGCTTTTAGTTGTATGAGCATCACTCTTGCTGAAATTCCTGACTTAAATCTTGAGCAGGCAGGTCTAATACGATGAAATAGATAATTTACATAAGATCAGGAAAGAAGGAGAAGGTGCTTGTTTTATAAAGAAAGTGTTTCATTCGGTTTTTTAATATACAAAACATTACATTTCAATGACTATTCCAATTATGCTGAAGCGGCCATTTGTCTGAAATATCGAACCGAGAAGACCGATACTTGATGAAAATCCATTATTATTGGGACCGTGCAAGTTCGGAACAGCGACACCTGGTGTCGTAAATAAGCAAAATTTACTGCGCTTTCATGTTAGATCGAGGTTACCGGATAACTGTCAAGGACGTAGCCCAAAAAAAGAATAAGAAGAAAAAGTAAGATTGAGGTTATGTCGGTATGTTATTAAAAGGTAAACTTTATATGTAGTGTAAATACAAATAAATATATTATTAAATTACAGCATTACTGTTAATATCGATGCAATAATAAAAACTGGATTTGAGAAAGTAAATCACCAAATAACTTTTCAAACAAGCACTGAGTCAAATGGAAAAGCTTTAGTAGTGGCAAATGTCAAAAAAGAATGGAAGAATTATGTGGAAGAATTAAGAAAAATAAATTATCATAAATAATGCTAATGCATAAATTAGCAGGTTAAGCCCATGATATCATCATATTGGTTTGAACAATTAATTCTTTCCCTGTAAACTTTTGGACAGCGAATTTATCTTAATTCATCTTCAGAAAAACTCGAAATTGATGCATTTTTATAAACTTCAAAAAAATAAAATTTAAACAATAAACTTGATTTTTGGGTTAAAATGAACTCTAAGTGAGTGTTATGAAACTAAAATTTACACTTAAAAGTGAACTTTTATTTATTATTTATTTCAAACTGACTTTAAAATCGGGCGCAAGAATAATGCATAATTTAGGTTATGTTACTTATGCTCTTTTATGATATAAATCCATTTTTCTCTTTGTAGTAATTTGTGCTTCGATGTTGGAAACGAATAAAACTTAAATTGACAATTTTTTGTTGTATTTTTACAATTTATAACACAGCATTTCTCAAATCCCATTTTCTTCAGTGACAGAAGGTGTAAATAAACAAACGAATTTGGAATATGACAATTGACAATATGAATTTATGAAATCTATGAAATTTGCAGTAAAAAAATGCAAGATTTCTCCGCTACTGGCGCACGATCGTTTCTCGTATCACATCCAAGTACTTGCACGTCGCCAATACAAATTATTATACAAACTAATGCAAAATAAATAAATTTGAATTGTATTTTTTTAAATTCTGCATTTTTTTTTAACTTATACATGACATTTTTTTGTATATTATCCGTAATTTACATCATAGAATGGTGACAGGTATATATTTTTTTAAATGAAACATACATATATTTTCCTTCTTTCGCCAGCTTCCCAAATATGCTTGACTTATAAATAGCGGAAGAACAGGAGACGATAAATTATGACGCGAAAATAAACATTGTTAAACAATAACTGTGACGTTTATGTGCTTTACATGTATTTTTATATATTTTTTATTACTTTTTCCTTATGTATGTAAGCTATACTTTTTATATACATTTTTATAGATCATTTCGCTTGTATTCAAAAATGCAGCAAATGTTCTTTTTTTTTTATATCTTTTTTACCTTTTTTTCGAATAATGTATCCAAAAAATAACACTTATTTTTTAATATTTCGTACTAAAGACACAGGGTACTTTTACAAATCAAAATTTATTCGAATGTTAAAAATATGTTGTGATAAAATGTTGACTGAATGTTTACTAAAATGTAAGATCGACAAAATGTATTATTTTAAAAAAATATATTTCAAATAATATCCCACTATCGTTTTATTTCACTTCTGAAATCGGTAACAAGCACATATCGCAGTTACATGGAATAAATCGTATTTTCAAAATATCATACGCTTTTTTTTTTTAATTGATAGTACAGAGAAGTAAGGTAAACGAGTACCCTGTTGTGTACTTTGACCCGGCTAGGTATATGACAAGTTTTTTGAGTTTTATGGACCTCAATACCTAAAACCTGTCTGACTCTTGCAATCGGTTCGGTGGATTTTTTAAATTAATAATAATTTAAGTCCAAAAATGCACCTTTTAAGTACCTCCGTCTACCAGAAAAACTACCGTCATTTGAGGTAACTGTCTGATAAAACACATTTAAAACGGCGATTTATGAATGTTAATTTAATAATTTGTTGCTTAGAAAACTGTAAAAATTCTAAGCATTCTTAATTTTCAATAAATGTTAACTATATACATTTATATATGGGGGAAATTTTAAAATACGCACTATCAAAAAACGAAATATCAAACTCGAGCTATAACCTATATCTCCGGTCCTTGTTAATACTGATTTTGACATGTTTTTAATTGTGAAAAAATTCCAGTTTGTCGAATAAACAAAAATAATTTTTTCCCGTGCAATAGCCAAAAAGTTATTCAAAATTGTTTATAAGCCAAACATTGCAATATTTTGCAATCAAGTTTTACAATGTCCACTAATAACACTGCGTGGTTAATGTGGATTATGCTTCTAAAAAAAATTGCATTGTTTTTTTTTCACTTTTTAAAATTATTTTGCTATAATTCTCTACTTTTACTTGTGGTACCTTTAGAATCATTGTAAGTTTATATTTTTATGACTTAAATGATTGCAAAAGTGGGATAAAAAATTTAAATAACTTATAAACTAATCGATGAATCACTCTGAAATATGAGGATATTTTTAACACTACAAGACAAACTTTCCACGCAATATGAAGATTGTAGGTTCATTTTTTACAATAGTTATTAACATTTATTGAATACAAGCGGACCTGACAGACTTCGTTCTGTCAAATAGATTTGGAATGTGGCAGTTTATTTCTTTAATTCTCGTGAACAGAACTGTCACCATGATGATAGGGCGGTGTGTGAGGGTGAGCTCGGGTGACCTAAATATCTTCGCCTAGACGAAATAAGCCAAGAAAACGTTTTCTTGGCTTATGCCCCTTCAGATGCCCCTGAAGATGTTATTTTAAGCGAAAGTACTTGGGTTATTTTTCAAAGTTCATTTACTCGAGCATTCAACCTTATATCAATTAAAAAAAGAATTGTTAAGATTGGTCCATGAGTTGTTGAGTTATTGGCTTACCAACACATTTTACGATTCATTTTTATATTATAGATTAAGAATTCTTTAGTTTTTTACAATTTTCTATGCAAAAAATTAGTAAATGAACAATCATAAATCGCCATTTTTT